CCAAGATGCCTCCAAGACGGCCAAGATGGCCTCCAAGACGGGTAAGATGGCTCCAAAATGCACCCAAGACGGTCCAAGATGGCCTCAAGATGGTCTAAGACGGCCCAAAAGGCCGGCAAAAGGCCTCCAAGACGGCCCAAGAGCCCTCCAAGAAGACGCCCTCCAGGAAGGCCCGAATAGGTTAAAATCCTTGATTTTCCTTAGGTTTTTGAAGGATTTTGGCATGTTCTTCCATTCCCATTCCCCCCCTTCCTATCTCTCCTCTCCTCCCCGTCCTCCCCCACGTGTTCCCCGAAGGCTGTAAAGACCGATTCGGGGAACATATGGCCCAATAACTTGGCAGACCTCTGGCCACAGCAGTCGGCCGCATCGGCGCTTCCGAAAGGGCAGGGGGCGGCGGTGATTCGCCGTAGGCGTCTTCGATACTGCACAACGTATATGGTGCCACATAGATTGGACCACATGTTTTGCATCACATCTGTTGCACAATGAAGATTGCACAACATACATCGCTAGAAATACACTGTTTGGGGTCAGCGCTGGCTAACCGATATATATATATATATATATATATAGACATATATGTATACATATCGGAGGCTGGGGGGTGAGATCGCAGTTGAACGGAGACCCCCAACCGGGAAATCGTTTCGTTTCGTTCGTGTCGTGCGTGCGGGCAAAGCGAAACTGCGTGGGCGCGCGAGAGGAATGAACCCGCCGTTGCCAAGGCGAAGTCGAGACAACTGATTATCCCCCTTCCTGGCGCCTGTCCGGCGGTGGCTCGCGGTGTCCCGCGGTGTCCCTTGGTGTCCCGTGGTGTCTGCCGTTGCCAGGGCGAAGTCGAGACAACTGATTATCCCCCGCCCGCCCGTCCCGCGGTGGCTCGCGGTGTCCCGCGGTGTCCCGTGGTGTCCCGTGGTGTCCGCCGTTGCTAGGGCGAAGTCAAGACAAATGATTGAGGGTGCGCCGCTGGATCCCCCCCAAGGGGGGGGGGTTGGGACCCCCCCCCTTTCTCCGATCCGTCGTCGGGACCCCCCCCCCTTTCCCGATCCGTCGTCGGGAACCCCCCCCCTCTTCCCTTTCCCGATCCGTCGTCGGGGATCCCCCCCTCCTTTCGCCACGGCGCCCACTCCTAACAGTAATCCTCACCCTAAACCTAAACCCTAACCCTAACCCCAAACCCTAACCCTAGCCCCAAACAGTATTCACTACTCATTACGCACTACTCACTACCCGCTACCCACTACTCGCTATTCACTACTCACTTCTCACTACTCACTACTCACGACTCACTACTCAATTCCCACTACTCAATACCCCCTCTTCCCTTTCCCGATCCGTCGTCGGGGATCCCCCCCCTCCCCCCTTTCAAAAGGGGGGGGGTCCGACCCCCCCCCCCCCCCTTAGGCCGGCAAAATCGACCCCCCCCCTTCCCCCCTTTCGCCACGGCGCCCACTCCTAACAGTAAGTCTCACCCTAAACCTAAACCCTAACCCTAACCCCAAACCCTAACCCTAGCCCCAAACAGTATTCACTACTCATTACGCACTACTCACTACCCGCTACCCACTACTCGCTATTCACTACTCACTTCTCACTACGCACTACTCACTACTCAATACCCACTACTCAATAACCACTACCCAATACTCACTACTCCCGACTCCCTACTCACTACTCACTATTCACTGCTCACTACTAGCTACTCACTACGCACTACCCGCTACTCAAAACTCACTACTCACTAACACAACTCACTACCCACTACTCACTACTCACAAATCAATACTCACTACCCACTAACCACTATCCACTACTCACACTTCACTACTCACTACTCACTGCCCGCAACTCACTATCCACTACTCGCTACTCCATACTCCCTAGACAGTACTCACTACTCGCTACTCGCTACTCCCATACACCCCACTCGCTACCCAACACGCACAAATCACTACCCACTACTCACTGCTCACTACGGTCCCACTATTCGCAACTCATTACTCCTTACTCACTACTCCCAACTCACTATTCACTACCCAGTACTCACTACTCACTAAACACTACCCACTGCCCACTACTCACTACTCACTGAGCACTACCCACTACCCAGTATCCACTATTGAGTACGCACAGTTCACTACTCACAACTTATTGCCTACAACTCACTACTCACTATCCGCTGCTCGCCACTCGCTACTCCCTACTTCATACACAGTACTCACTGCTCACTACTCACTACTCGCTACTCCCTACTCGCTACCCAATACGCCACATTCAGTACCCACTACGCACTACTCACTACTCCCTACTCCCTGCTCACTAGTCACTAGTCACAAGTCGCTACTCAATGCTCACTATTCAGTACTCACTACTCACTACTCACGACTTACTACTCACTACCTACTACTCACTACTCGCTACTCCCTACGCACTACCCACTTCTCCCTTCTCAGTACTCACTACTCAGTACTCCCTACTCACTACTCACTACTCACTAATCACTACTCGCTACTCCCTACTCACTACTCGCTACTGACTACTTCCTCTTCACTACTCACTACTCACAGTGCCCTATTCGCGACTCGCTATTCACTACTCGCTACTCCCTGCTACTCACTACTCACTACCCACTCCCCACTACCCGCTATTCACTACTCCCTACTCACTACTCACTACTCACTGCGCACTACTCACTCCTCACTCCTCACTACTCGCTACTATCTACTCTTTACTCACTATTCACTACTCACTCCTCTCTACTCACTATCCCGACGCCAGACCCCCCCCCTTGCGGGAGAGGCCCTCTCCCCGGCCCACTGTTCGGCGCAAAGGGCGTGAGGGGGGTGGGGGGTTCGAACCCCCCGCCCCCCCTTTCCAGCAGCGCCAAGGGGGGAAGGGAGGGGGGTCCGGACCTCCCCCCCTTCAAGGGGGGAGGGAGGGAGGGGGGGTTCGGACCCCCCACCCCCCTTAAGGGGGGGAGGGGCGGGGTGGGTTCGACAATCTCACACCCCTTTTGAAGGGGGGGAGGGGGGGGGTTCTGCGAGCACCCCCCCCCCTTGTGTGCATTGAGGGGGATCCACTGGCGCGCTTTCCAAATGACTCTCCCCCGCCCGCCCGTCCTCCGTCCGTCCGGCAGTGGCTCGCGGTGGCTCGAGGTGTCCCGCGGTGTCCCGTGGTGTCCCGTTGAATGAGATCGATCGTGAGATCGATAATGAGATCGATCGTGAGATCGATGTGGTGCCCCGAGGTGTCCCGTGGTGTCCCAAAAAGTGAAATCGATAATGAGATCGATAATGAGATCGACAAGTGTCCCGTGGTGTCCAGTTAAGTGAGATCGATCGTGAGATCGATAGTGAGATCGATACTGAGATCGATGTGGTGCCCCGAAGTTTCCCAAAAAGTGAGATCGATAGTGAGATCGATAGTGAGATCGACAGGTGTCCCGCGGTGTCCCGTGGTGTCCCGTTGAGCGAGATCGATAGTGAGATCGATAATGAGATCGATCGTGAGATCGATGTGGTGTCCTTAGGTGTCCCGTGGTGTCCCGTTGAGTGAGATCGATAGTGAGACCGATAGAAAGATCGAGAGGTGTCCCGCAGTGTCCCGTGGTGTCCCTTTGAGTGAGATCGATCGTGAGATCGATAGAGAGATCGACAAGTGTCCCGTGGTGTCCCGATGAGTGAGATCGATTGAGTCAGATGTTGGTTCCTCCCCTCTCCCCCCCCACAATCTCCTTATCACCCGAAGGGTGGTCGTACAAGTATAAGTATGTCAATACTCATGGATCGGTCTCACGATTTACCAATCTACAGGCGAGACAACCGTAAGAACACCACGGAGCGACCACGGGACAACCACGAGGAAACATGACAACCACGGGGCAACCAAAACAACATCCCAAGACCAACACGTAACAATCGCCGGACAACCACGAAACAACCACGGGGTAACTACGGGACAACCACGGGGCATTCACGGGACAACCACGGGACAACCGCGAGACAACCCTGGGCACGCCACAGGACAACCACGGGACAACCGCGGGATAAACCAGGGCACGCCCCAGATGCGCGTGACTCTTATTTGGCTCGACTCAGACTAAGCAAAGACAGACAGTGTCACTCTCGCCCTCGCGCAGCTTCGCCTCGCCCACGCGCGCGGCACGAACCGAAACCGACCGATTTCCTGGTTGGGGGCCTCAATTTCACGTCGGTCTCCCCTCATCCCAACCTCCAATCGTTTGCTTACGAACGTTTGAATATCGCAAGAAAGAGGCAGAGTGAAACCCTTTCGGCAAAAGACCCTAAACAACTTTACATAGTTACGATAGGGGGCCACCACGGGGGGTCACGATTGGGGGCCACGATGAGGGGGTCACGATAGGGACAGGGATATAGGGCTAAGGACATAAAGATACGGTAGGGTTCGTGCGGCGCCGGCGCGCGCAAAGGTTCTTGACACCGCGTAGATCGTTCAACTTTGAATCGATCGCGGCCCCGATCGTTCAAGGTTGAATTCCGTCGGGTCCAGCAGCGTCACTGTGTCCCTCGGTGCTCCCGAGTCACAGAATACAACTTTGAACACCTTCGCTGGCGTTGCAGGCGCGCCATCGCCGCATGAATCTACCGTAGGGATATAGGGCGAGGGCTACAACTACAAAGATCGGGGCGGAGATATATGGCAGGGATGAACATGGGTCCGTGATAGAGGCAGAGGGATCGGGATGGAGGCAGAGAGGGATGGGGACGGCAGTGGGTTGGCCACGGGAGGCCACGTCGCCCCCTCGATTCTGGATCCGGTGGCCCACGTACTGGTTTCGTAGAAGTTTGTTGAACCCTTACAGACAGGCATTTTCAAGTAGCAGCAGGCCAGCAAACAAACCAGCGAACAAGACAACGCACACAAACAAACAGACACACAAAGAGACCGTCTCACGGTGCCCTTCATCATGAACGATTCCAAGTAACCTGTTGCATGCAAAGAGAAGAGTGAGACACCGATCCTCCACGAACTTGGACACCGTCATGTGAGGGTCTGGGTTTGCCTCCAAAGCCTGCGTCCATTGGATCCTTCTCTTGCTACACTGCTCGGCGGAGGGTAGAGGATGGAGGCCGATGCACACGACTGACGCTCGCTCCCTTTCGCTGCTGACTCCGTGCTTGTGTGGAACATGAACAGAGGCAGAAGCCAACAGTCCTCCTCCTGTACCACCTCCTCCTCTCTTCTTTACCTGTGTAACCCGAAGCCCGAATAGCAGAGCTGCACTTATCGGCGCCCGCTTGCGCGTCCGCGTACGCGCACGCGTGCGCGCGTGCGCGCCACCGCGCGCGCCTGCCGCGCTCGCGCGCACCTGCGCGCGCTCGTGCGCGCTCGTGCGCGCCCGCACGTAGCCCCGCGGGCCCAGGCGCGCCCGCCCGCGCCCGCGCGCGCCCGTACGCGCCCGCGCGCGCCCGAACGCGCCCACTTGCACCCGCGCGCGTCTGCGTGCCCGCGTCTCCACACCGCAGCACGACTCCCGCGCGCCCGAGCGCGCCCAAGCGCGCGCGCCCGCCCGCGCCGGCGCGCGCCGCCCCGCGCGCGGACGCTCGCGTGCGCCGGCGTGGCCTTCCGCACGGGACGCTCCCCAGAGGGAGAGGGAGGGAGGGAGGGAGGGAGGGAGGAGGGAGAAGAGAGGGAGGAGGAGGGAGGGAGGAGGGAGGAAGGAGCGAGGAGGGAGGAGGGAAGGGGGGAGGCCGAGAGGCACGCGCTGAACGAGGGAGGGAGGGCAAGGGAGAGAGGAGGGAGGGGATGCGGGGGGAAGGAGGGAGGAGGTGGGAGAGGAGGGAGAAGGGTGGGAGAGGAGGGTTGAGGTGGGGGGGAAGGAAAGAGGAGGGAGGAGAGTGGGGGGAAGGATGGCGGAGATAGGGACTGGTCCCCCCTCCGTGGCGTGCGGAGCGCGCCGGAGGCGCCGCCAAGGGAGGTCCAGCGCCGATCCAAGAATCCCGTGCGGACCTCCGACAGTGTATGTTCATGTCGATGTTTCCTTTCCGATGTTTCCTTTCCTTCACGAAGGATTGCAAAAAAAACCCTGGGTTTTTTTTTGCAATCCTTCGTGCAATCCTGTTTGTTTTTGCAATCCTGTTTTTTTTTTTCGCAATCCTTCGTTCGAATGAGGAAGGAGGAATGAAAGAGAGAGTAGGAAGAGGGAGAACAATCGAGTTGATGCGGGGGCGCCCACTCACGCCTGACACAAGATCTCAATGTCGCGGAGCTTCTGGAAATAGAAATCTCTCTCTGTCTCCAGACCGTCGACCTGGCGCGGCACAGCCGTGACGGATCCCAGATGACTGCGCAAAGACGGCTGGCAAGAAGCGTCTTTCACACACCTCTGCCACTAATCCTGGGAAGCAAACTGTATCCCCCACGACACTGTTAGCATACAACAGCCATGTTGGGAGGCACCTCCTGGCGATTTCGTTTGCACTTGAAGCAATGATGCATACTTGCCACGGTATCTAGCCAAAGAAATGATATTCGAAACACAATGGGAAAACAACAAATTTGATATTAGTCGACGTTGTCGGAATGCTCAAGTACCTCCAAGGACTCCAAGAAGACACTCAAGGGAACAACAGGGAAACCCTCGTGAAGGCACTTAGAAATCACAAGAAAACTAAATCATCAAAAGGACATCGGGGTCGTGCGATGCACTGAACTCGGATCCGAACGCCCGTTGAAAAAATCTTTCGTGGGTCTTTGTGGGGGATATCGCTTCCGGCCAGGCCCCGGTGCCGAAAGCGTTTTAAATTGTGTGTGTGGGTGGGGTAGATGGCAGAAAATCCAACCCGACAATAACCACCCCGACACGCGAAGCTGTTTAGTAAACGCACCCAAAAAAGGAATCAAACAGGGCAGGGCTGTTTAGTAAACGCCCAGGGTCGTTTAGTAAACGACAATTGGCCGGTCGGGGTGGTTTTTCCTCCCTTGATGGGGTCTGATTGCTTCCCAGGGCTGCAAGGCCGCAGCTCGGAATAGCTTCAGTAACGCTTTCCTGTACTCCGTGACGGTGCCACACACACACACACACACCCACACACACGCGCACACGAACACACACACACACACCCTCTCCCCCCCCGCCCACCCACACACCCACCCACACCGCACCCCCCCTCTCCTCCTCCCCACCCACCCACCCACACCCACACCCACACCCACACCCCCACCCGCACCCCCACCCCCACATGCGTTCAACGCACACACGCATTCACAGGCATTCACACACATTCGCAACATTCACACACATTCGCATACATTTACACATTCATCCATTCACGCACAAACGCGCACAAACGCACACAAGCACACACAGACACACATACAAATGCACACAGACCCATACATAGAAACACACATACACACATAAACACATACAAACACCTGCACCCACACGCACCCACAGCCACACGCACGCACGCAGGCATGCACTCGCTAACTCACCCACACGCACCCAAAAGCGCGCGGCGACACGGCGGTGTCAGGCTTCCAGGAGCGGGCGCGCGCCATGCACCGAGCGAGGTGACGCAAGGATCACCCATAAAAGGCCACGCTGCATGGGGAGTCACGAGGGGGATGCCGTGAGAGGGGGCGAGCGAAGGACTACGAACGGCAGACCGGGGGAAAGCAACAACAGCAACGGCGTGGTCGAATCCAGACGAGGACGGGGGGCAGTCGCGAGGCGGAGGAAGCAAGGCAATCGGGGGCGGGCCAAGGACGGCCCAAAGAGATGGCAGCACAGGTGAAGATGAGCAAGCCGGGCTACGACCAGCGGACACGGGGGGGGGGGCGGCAAGGGTGGTCGAGGCCAGACAGGAGCGAAACAGTGACTCCTGGGCGCTTCTTGGGGCCATCTTGGAGGAGATCGATCAAACAAGAGGGGAGCTTCAATCAGGCCCCCCCACATCAGGAGGCCAAAATGGGGCCCACATCCTAGTAAAACCAATGATTTTGGCTTCCTCGCCGAGGCCGTTTTGGACGCCCTAACACCTCGCGACACCCCCCGTCCATGTCCAGTGACAGTGGTGGCCGAAGCCAAGCGTGGACGGCAAGGAGAGCGTGGCGGATCGCGGAACCGTTGAAGCGGGCGCCGGCGAGCGGGCAGTAGCACACGCAAGCGCACACGCGCACGGTCTCCTCCGACGCCCACAGCCGAAGGCAACCGCCCGTGGTACCGCCACGGGCTACGCTAACTGCGAATCAGAACGGTCACCCTGTGTGACGGAGGGCGCCAGGCCAGTACTCCCAAATTAGAGGCAGACTGGGCAAGGCCAGTGCCGAGAAATCGGCATCGAGCAAACATGGGATCTACCGGTCTCTCGGGCAGCTGCGCAGCGAAGGGGCGCGCCAGGCGAAGCCACGCGCCCGCCGGGAACGAACTACAAAGGACTCTGTGAAGCGCAAGGAAATCCTCTACGCGGGCACATACATCTCAACACAACACAACACAACACAACACAACACAGCACACACAACATACAACATCCCAAAATCACACAACACACAACACACGGTGACATCCCAACACACACACACACTACACACCCAAGCACGCACGCACACACACACACGGCCACACACCCACACACGTACGCACGCATGCATATGATCTCACACACACGCACTCGCGCACACTCCACAAACAACACACTAACGTACACACACACTCACGCACACTCGCGCACACTCTCTCTGTCTCTCAAACACACAAAGAACACACCACACACCACACACACCATACACACAATACACACAACACACAACACACAAAACACGCACATCACACCTACACCACACACAACATATCCAACACACAACCGACACGACACACAACACCAACAACACACACAACTCATATTACACACATAACCCATTCCACACACAACGCACAACACACACACAACATACACACAACACACAACACACGAACCATACAGCACACATCACGCGCAACACACAACACACGCAGACCACACACTACGCACAACACACAACACACACAACACACCGCACAAAGACAACACACAACACACAACACGCGCACCACTCACAAAACACAACACACGCACAACGCACACATGCATACCGCACACACACAAAACACACAAACACACAAGCACAAACACACACATACACATTTCGCACACAGAACACACAATAGACACAACACACAACACACCCAAACCACACACACCACCCAACACACAAAACAGACACAACACACGACACACAGACAACAAAGCCAATCCACACACCACTCACACCACACACAGCACACAACACACGCACAGAACACACGCCACACACAACAAACACAAACCACACATAAACACACACGAGCACACACCACACAGACACACAACGCACACACAACACACACACACACGACACACACACACAATATACGCACCGCACACACAACACACCCAAACCACACACAACACTCAACACACACAGCACACGGAACACACAATCCACACCACACACCACAAACAACACACACGACACACACCACACACACAAAAACACGCACAAACCACACACAACACACAACACACAACACACATTACACACCACACACAACACACACCAACATACACACCACACAATACACATGCACACGCACCCAAACATGCGCACAACACGCTCACCCAACACACGCACACACACACACACACGCACACCAAACACGCGCACGGACGCACACGCACACCCGCACACACAAACACACACACACACGCACACACGCACACATACGCACACACGCGCACACACAGCAACACACAACATACACACATTCAATACACAACGCATAACACACGACCGCGCACACACGCACGCACACAACACACAACACACAACACACAGCACACGCAGACACATCAACAGTACACAGGCGAACATACACAGAGACACAAACGCACACACACAGGCACGCGCGCAAACACACATACACGTAGACACAAACACACAGGCACACACAGACGCACAGGCACACACACACACGCGCGCAGACACACACACACATAGACGCACACAGGCTCAAACATACACAGGGGCGCACTGACACAGACACACACTCAGAAACACATACACAAACAGACAGGCACACACAGACGCACACAGAGACCCCCACATACACACGCGCAGGCACACACAGACACACACACAGAGACACAGGCACACACGAACACACACAGACAGACACACACAGACGCATACAGACACACACAGACACACACACACACCGACACGCACACACAGACACACACAGACACACACACAGACACACCCACAGACGCACACAGACACACACAGGCACACACAAACACGCTCGCAAACACACACAGACACGCAAAGACACAGACACACACGGACACACACACACAGACAGACACACACACACAGACGCGTACAGACACACGGCACACGCAGACACACACACACCGCACACACAGCAACACACACAGACACACACGCAGACAGACACACAGACACAGACACACAAGGACACACAAATACGCACAGACGGACACACGCACACACATACACAGACACACATACAACGACACATGGACACACATACAGGCACACACACACCGACGCACACACACACACACGTCAACACACACAGACAGTCACAAACAGACACACATACTCACACTTTTAAGCTGGCGGCGCAGAGGTACTTCAGCCGCGGTCGGCAGATGGAGGTGCCAATTGCGAACGAACTTAGTCGAACGCACCGTGATGCGAGAATCCAGCCACGGCCATACAGACACACACACCCAGACACACCCACAGACGCATACAGACACACACGGACACACACACACATTTTGCGCCGGCGGCTAGGCAGAGTGACTGCTCTGGCGATGTAGCCACACAGACACACACACACTCACACCGACACGCACGTAATAGGTACACATAGATACACACATAGACACACACAGGCACTCCCATACAAGGACACACACAGACGGACACACACACAGACGGACACACATACGCACATATACACACACGCAGACACAGACACACACAGGCACAGACACATACAAACACAGACACACACACACAAACACACACAGACACACACACACTCACACACAGACACACAGACACGGACGCAGCCAGACACACACAATCACACGCACAGACACACATAGAGACACACACACAGACACACACACAGACAGACACACAGACACACACACAGCCAGACTCACACACACAAACACACGCACGGACACACAATAGAGACACACACAGAGAGACACACACAGGCACACACACAGAAACACACACAGACAGACACACAGACACACACGCACACGCACACACACGCACACCGACACACAAACACACACATCGACACAAACACAAACACAAACAAAGACACACACACAGAGACACAGACACACACGGACACACACAAACACACACACGCACACCGACACACAAACACACACACCGACACAAACACAAACACAAACACAGACACACACACAGAGACACAGACACACACGGACACACACAAACACACACAGACACATACCGACACCCACACCCCTACAGACACCAATAGACACCCAGAGGCACACACAGATACGCACAGACACCCAGAGACACCCACAGGCACACACAGATGTAACAGACATACACACGCAGACACACACACACATACACACGAAGGCATACACACAAACACACACGCAGGCAAACACGGCCATAGAGATATGCACAGAGGCACACCCATGGACACACAATCACACGCAGGGACACGCGCGTATACACACACGCAGGCACGCACAGCGACTCACAGAGACACACGCAGAGACACACAGACACACACACATAGACACGCAAGCAAACAGACCACAGCGACACGCACAGACAAACGCAGACACACAGGCACACACACAAACACACAGAGGCACACGCAGGCACACACACAGACAAACACACAGACACAGACACAGACAGACACAGACACAGACAGACACAGACACACACAATGTCACACACACGGACATGTACAGTCACACCCAGGCACACACAGACACACAAACGCACGCAGACACACCCACAGACACACCCACACACACACACACACGCACAGACTCACACACACACACGCACACACAGACACACACACACACACACACGCACACACAGACACATGAATGCACATATATACGCACACGCATATATACACACAGACACACACAGCCACACACACACAGACACACAGCCACACACACACATTCACACAGAGACACACCGAGACACAGCCAGACACATATACACAGGCACACACATACACACGCACACATACACACAGCCACGCATCCAGACACACACACAGGCAAACTCAGACACAAGCACACACAAGCACAGACAGACGCACACACATACACATGGTCACACACAGACAAGGAGACAGACACACACGGACTTACACGCAGACACGTACACACATTCACATACACACAAGCACACCCATGCACACACAGACACACAAACGCACACAGACTTTTTGCGTAGGCGGCTGGGCAGAGGTCGACTGCTCTGGCGGGAAGGTACATACACAGACACACACACAGACTTACACGCACAGACACACACAGACGCACACAGGCGCACACAAGCACACCCAGGCACACACAGACACAACCAGACACACAGACACACACAGACCAAGACACAGACAGACACACACAGGCACACATTGACACGCAAACGCATATACAACGACATGCACGCACACAGGCAGACGCAGACACAGCCACACTTAGATACAGACAGACGCACATATACACACACTGTTGCACACGGGCGCAGACCACAACCACAGCCACACACACACGGAGATACACACACGGACTTACACGCATAGACACACACGCAGACACACACACATACACATACATGCAGACACGCATGGACACACACAGAAACACACACACACGCACACACGGACACAGAGGCATACACACAGACACACAACACACACAGACACACACGCACACATACACACAGCCACACACAGAGACACATGCAGAGGCACCTACACAGACACACACGCAGACACACACAGAGACACACACACACAGAGACACTCACAGAGACACACACAGACACACACACAGACACACACAGAGACACACACAGAGTCACCCACAGCGGCACACACAGTGACACACACTGCTAGTCACACAGGAACACACACAAAGACACACTCACAGCGACACACCCAGGCACACACAGACACACACAGCGACACCCAGAGGCACACACATACACACGCAGACACATACAAACACACACTGGCACTCACAGAGACACAGCGACACGCATAGACACACACAGACACACACACAGAGACACACCGACACACACAGACACACACACACACATTGAGACACACACAGACGTACATACACACAGACACACACAGGCTCACACAGACACGCACACAGGACCCACACAAGCACACACAACCACACGCAGACACACGCAGACAGACACATACACACAGACGCGCACACACACAGAGACCCAGAGCCACACACACACACACACACCCACAGACACCCAACCCGCAGACACACGGACACACGCACACACATACACAGACCCCCACACACACACATAGACAACACACAAACACAGACACACACACACACACAAACTTTGTAACAGACACCCATAGACACTTCCGTTGGCGGCTAGGCAGAGTAACTGCGCTGGCGATCGGGCTTTGGTAGGTGCACGCAACGCGAAGACACACACACACACAAACAGACCCACACACACAGACGCACGCAGACACACACACAGACACACGCACACCGACACAACAGACGTAGACACAGACACAGACACACAAACAGGTATACACAGACACACACAAACAAGCAAGCAAACACAAACGCGCACACAGACGCACATACGAACACTCACACACACAGAAACACACACAGACAGACACACACACACAGGACCACACAGAAAACAAACATAAACACATAGATAGACACATTGAACACACACGCAGAACCACACAGACAAGCACACACAGACACGCACTCACAGAACACACACAGGCAGACACACACATAACTACACATAGAACACAGGCACACACACACTGAAAAACACACATAAGACATATTGAACACATACACACAGAAACACACACATGGAAAGACACTCATAAACGCACACATAAGCACACAGAACCACACAGAGGCACCCACAGACACACCCACAGACATCCAGAGACACACACACACAGACACCACAATAACACACACACACAACACACACAGAACACACACACACAGGCACACAGAAACACACACAAAACACACAAACATAAGCACACACACAGACACACACAAGCACACACACACACGCACTTTTTTGGCGCCGCGGCTTCGAGCGCAGCGTCGAGGCGCCTGACACACAAGAACACACATGCACACATAAACTCACAAACACACAAACACTCACACATACACACAAGCACACGCACACACCCACCCACATACATACCCACGCGCATAAACACAACGACACATAAACATACAAACACAAACACAAACACAAACACACAAACACAGACACAAGCACGAACACACACACAACCACACAGGCAAACTCACACATACACAAAAACGCACACACACAAGCTTTTTTTCTCTCGCGCGCCGATGGGGTGCAGTCGAGGGCTCAGGCGCTACTAAGACGGGACACGCTCCGAGGAAAATTACCATTGAAAGTGTGATAATGAAAAGAGCCATGCGTCCCAGTGAGATACGGGCACAGGCACAAGAACACACACACACACACACTACGATGCACGCGTGCGCACGCATCTCGGTGGGCAGTTCCATGCGACGCGTCTGCCCCCCTCCGGCCCAGCAGGGACCCGCGGCAATCCGCGAGCAGAGTTCCGCGGGCACAGCGCACGCGCGGCACAGAGCCGTGGCACGCGGCGCGCGCCCTCTGGGCGGCGGCGTGCGGGGCGACCGTGATCTTCAGATCGACGACCTCCTCTCTGAGCGTCTCGTTGTCCTCCTGGTCGGGCCCGCTCTCCCTCGTCCGTCCATCACTCCACTCCTCACCCCACCCCCCTCCTCTTTCGCTACCTCGTTCCCTCTCGCGTTCAATGGCAGTCTAGATTTCCCTCTCCATCTTCCCTGCCTCCTGTTTCAGCTCCCCTTTTTTTGTTTCTCTCTCTCTCTCTCTCTCTGGGGAGGAGGAGGTGGAGGTGGAGGGGGCGGAGGGGGAGGAGGGGGAGGAGGAGGTGGATGAGGAGGAAGAGGAAGAAGAGGAAAAGGAGGAGGAGGAGGAGGAAAAGGACGCCCCCCTCAATATTTACTCTCACGATGGCATCAGACATCGGAGACGTCAACTGACCACCTCACCGATCCTAGCCGAGCTGATCGTGGGCTTAGGATGGGTACGGCCAGGATCGGTGGGGCGGTCAAGAGGGCGCCAATTAGTGGCGGCGCGCTAGGGGTTATGGAGAGGGGGGGAGGCTTCTTAGAAGGAATCTGCTTCTTAGAAGACGTCGACCTTACATATGTAGATAAGGCTCGCGCCTTCTAAGAAGCAAAAGTGCTTCTAAGAAACTCCCCCCTCCCCCATACCCCCCTCCTGCGCGTGGCGGAAACTATACACCCCACACCCACGCCCCGAAAATCCGCCATCGTGCCTTTAGGCACCCAACGGAACGTCGTCAAATCCCAGCGAATTCGAAGGCAGCCGATGCGTTTTCGAGGCCCCAACCCCCACCTCACTGGTTCTGGTGAGGGAGAAGGTCGGGGAACGAATGGTGACATAAGCAAAACGTTTCGGAGGTACGCGCTGATTTTTCGGAACGGCGCTGGCTCTTGGCGGCGCCTCCAGCACCACCTTTGGCTCGCTTCGCGCGCCAGGGACGGGGGCGCAGCACTGATCCAAGACGTCGACGCGGATCTCCGAAATAACTATGTTAATGTCATCGCTTGTTCCCCGGGAAAACGAGGAATGAGGGGGCGACTGGTGACAGCTTCTGCGCTTCAGGGCTCCTCGGGAGCGATGCGCCCAACCCTGCCGACCAGCAGGGGCACGCCATCTGCAGCCAGGCTGCTGGACTGCACACCATGGAAAAAAGGGGAGGAGGGGGAGGAGGGACGTGTGCCCTGGGCACCTCGTAATTTCCTGGGATATGTTTTTAAATGCAATGATTTTTTTGGTCCGAGCGTGGCTGGGAAACTAGGCTTCCAACGTGGCCACATATTACGCAGTTGCAACAATTCGTCACGCGTTATGGAGGCGTCAAGACGATGCAGGCGTCGTCTGTCACTTCCGCGCGAACGGGCGAGCGAAGGCTGACTCCTGTCCCGACCGCGCCAAACTGCCCCCTTTTTCCCCTTTGGAATCCGATCGGGCTGGGTCAAGAGCGGTCGGATCAAAGATCCTGGATTTCACAATCCGGGATTTCCTCCCGAAATATATTAGTGAGTTTACATGGGGTATTTGAAATCCCGACGTACAACATAATTAAAACAAAAAAACAGCGCGATTTTCGAAATCCCACCGGGCGGGATCCTGCCCGCCATGGCCGCGGCCTCTGGCCCACCGTATAACCAAAGGCTTCGCTTGCTACGCCAGTTCTTAAAGTCTTCGCCTACCACGCTGGATGGACAGAGGCTTCGCCTGCTACTCCCGATAAGGAAAGCTTCGTCTGCCACGCCGGATTACCAGGCACTCGATGCTCGCCGCGCAGCGCCTGGAATACCACTACGCGATTACAGAAGCTCGTCATGCTTAGTGCGAGCGTCAAGATGACGCAGGCGTCATCTGTTACTTCCGCGCGAGCGGGCGGGTGAAGGCTGACTCCTGTCACCACTGCGCCAAGCTGACCCCCCTTGTCTCCCTCCTAGGAGTTCTAGCGCGCTGGGTCAAGAGCGGTCGGATCAAATATCCTGGACTCCCACATCCGGGATTCCCTCCCAGCACATACTTGTACATATACGTATACGTAGCTGTATGTGTGTATATATATGGGCTCTGCCATACCCCCACCCCCTTGAAAACAATAAAACTGAGCAGAACGGCGGACTCCGTTTCGTTTCTCTGCTCCCCCCTCTTCTCCACTTCTCCTCCTTCCTCCCTCCTCCCCAGCCGCCTCTGCATCCGCGGGCGCTTTCCTCTCGCGAGCGGCGCCCCCGCCGCGCCCGCTCCTCATTGCGCTCGCCAGCTCGGCGCATCGCGCGGGCATTCTCAGATCGCGGCGTTGCGCGCGACGAAGTCTTTGGACGCGGCCGAGCCCCTCGTTGCGCTGGCCATCGTGCCGCCGACGTTGACGTGGAAGACGAACTCGTCCATTTCTGCCTCGCTCAGGTGGAGCTGGCCGTGGCGCTTGCGTGGCCATGCCTTGGCGCGGGCGTTCTCCGACTCCGCGTCGTTGGCGTGGAATCCCGTTTTCTTGCCCCTGTGCTGGTTGCCCCCGAGAACCGCCGCGGGGGGGCTCTCGAAGCCTACTTCCCCCAGGGCTGAACGCGTTGAGATCCGCCCGTCCGACGCGACCGTCGACTTCTTCCCGTCGCGGCTCGCCGGAGCTTCCTCGATCTCCTCGAGACCTCGCGGCTCGCCATTGTGGGCGTCGGCCTTGCGCGGCGGGGGCTTGCGCGCCGTCCTCTCCCCGAGGCCCCGGCGCGCGTGCGCGTCGGCCTTGTTGCCCGCGAGCACGGCGACCCAGAGCCAGCGGCCGTTGCTCTTCAGGCTGGCGGCGGACCTCTCGCCAATGGCTGCGTTCTTCCGCGGGGGGGGGGGGGCCTTTTCATCGGCTGCTTCGTCGCCCCCTTCATCGGCTTATTCTTGAGCTTGCAGGGGCCCTTCCTTCTGCGCTTGCTGAGCGTTGTAGACCGTTCGCGCTGGCGACCGCCTCGGGATCTGCTCCCGCGCCAGCTTGGCGGCCCCGCGCGGCCCTGCGCGCGCCGAAGTGGCCCCGCCTCTGTTCGCGCTCCTGGATTCGAGCGCCCATCCGTTTGCCTTATCGACGCCGATCGCTGTCTCGTCGACGACCGCGGCGCCCCCCTTCTTGCCGCCGACCATGTGGGCGTCCAGCGCAGGCGGCGCTTCCCCCGCGCATTCCTGGGTGGAGCTGCTTCCAAGCAGAGATTGTGCCCCTGTGGATGTTGCCGAACAGGTCGGCCATCTCGTCCTGGGCGTCCTTGAGGTTGCGCCCCGAGCGGGGGGTGCTGATCGAGCGCGAGAAAAACATCCACGAATTCGCGGGGGCCTTCGCGAGGAAGCCGTGCGAGTCCACAGGTTCGCAAAAGTTCTTGTGCCCGGCGGTCTTGCGCGACCAGCGGTGAGACTCCCACCCGCGGTCGGCGCGGACTTCGAACTTGATGGGGCTCCCGGAGGAGACGTGCTTCAGGGTCGTCTTGGCGCCGTCCTTGCCGTCCAATGCGGCAATTTGGAACTGGGGGTCTTCGGGCAATGGGCCCCTGAAGCCGAGGGGCGCCGGGAGGCCACCCCGCTCGATTCTTGGAGGCAGCCTCGTAGAGCACCTCCAAGTCCTCGGGCGCGGCGCCCACGTGGCCCACGACGAGGTCGATGTTGTGCGCCGGCGGGTTGTCCGTCGGCGTGGTGTCCTTAGGGAACTTGTCCAACGCGTCAACGGTGATTCTTGTGGGGGGCGTAGGGGTCGCCGGCGGAGTCGACTGGGGGCGCGAGAAGTAGCCCTCGACGCGCTCCTTGATATCCTCGTACACGGCCATGGCCGTCACCTGCGGCGTATCGCTCGAGGCGAGACGCGGCGGGAGCATGTGATTGAACCCAAACAACTACGAGTGTGTGATTGTTGCCACCGAGCGTGTGCCGGCTGCCCCCTTGTTGTGCCCTCGTGCCCGTTGGTGTCCAATAGTGTCGAAGCGACTCCGTGTCTGTGCGCGCGGAGTGACTTGGTTGGCTGCCTCGGTAGCTCGCTGGAAGTAGTAGTAGTAGTAGTAGTAGTAGTAGTAGTAGTAGTAGTAGTAGTAGTAGTAGTAGTGGTGGTAGTAATGGTAGTACTGGCAATCGTCGTAGTAGTTAGTAGTAGCTAGTAGTAGTAGTAGTAGTAGTAGTAGTCGTCGTCGTCGTCGTCGTCGTCGTCGTCGTCGTCGTCGTCGTCGTCGTCGTCGTCGTCGTCGTCGTCGTCGTCGTCGTCGTCGTCGTCGTAGTAGTAGTAGTAGTAGTAGTAGTAGTAGTAGTAGTAGTAGTAGT